TGAGTGGTTGTTCTGCACGCTTAATAAACAAACTCCAGGCTGGTACAAAATGCAGCAGCTAGAGTTCATGCTAGAACCAGGAAGTATGACCATATTAGCCCTGTTCTGTCAACACTGCACTGACTCCCTATTAAACATGTATAGATTTTAAAATCTTGCTTATTACTTATAAAGCCCTGAATGGTTTAGCAGCTCAGTATTTGAATGAGCTCTTATTGTATTACAGTCCTCCACGTCTGCTGCATTCTCAAAACTATGGCAATTTGTTAATACCTAGAATATCAAAATCAACTGCAGGCGGCAGATCCTTTTCCTATTTAGCGCCCAAACTCTGGAATAACCTACCTAACATTGTTCAGGAGGCAGACACACTCAGTTTAAATCTAGATTAAAGACCCATCTCTTTAACCTGGTTTACACATAACACACTAACACATTTCTAATATTCAAATCCATTAAAGGATTTTTAGGCTGCATTAATTAGGACAACCAGAACCGGGAACACTTCTCATAACACCCGATGTACTTGCTACATCGTTAGAAGAATGGCATCTACGCTAATATTAGTCTCTTTCTTTCTTATTCCAAGGTCAGCGTAGCCAACATATCCAGTCTGTATCCAGATCAGATGGTCACTGCAGTCAACCGGATCCAGTACGTATCCAGCCCAGATGGTGGATCAGCACCTAGAGAGGACCTCTACAGCGCTGAATGTCAGCAGAGATCAGGACAACTAGATGAGCCCCAGATACAGATCCCCAGTGAAGACCTTGTCTCCTAGACGGCCATCGGGGACAAGACCACGGATCCAGATGAGCCCTCTGCACAATCTAACTTTGCTGCAGCATGGATCAACCTGCTAGTTTATCTGGCCGGAGGAGAACTGGCCCCCCGACTGAGCCTGGTTTCTCCCAAGGTTTTTTTCTCCATTCTGTCACAGAGGGAGATTTGGTTCCTTGCCGCTGTCGCCTCTGGCTTGCTTAGTTGTGGACACTTAATTTCCAGCGATATCGTCGACTTGATTGCACAGATACTATTTAAACTGAACTGAGCTGGACAATGACATCACTTAATTCAATGATGAACTGCCTTTAACTAAAAATTGAGTGTTTACTATTGCCCTTTTGTATTGACACAATATTTTTCTATTTTGTTACCGTAAAGCTGCTTTGACACAATCTGTATTGTTAAAAGCATTATATAAATAAAGGTGACTTGACTTGACTTGAAACAGCATCTACTACAAATGGTGAAAACACACTATAACGTAACTCAACTAGGCCTTGCCCTCTTGGTCATGCCTTGGGCAGGAATTATTTAAATTCGAGATACTGAGATGTGTAGGTTCCGGGAAGAACATTCTGGCAGTAGAGGTGTTCGAGGAAATAGCTCCCTTTGGAGTGGACTTTGTAACTTTGCAGATCTTTTTTATGCTCAAACAGCAACAACATTACACAATAAAGGAAGTTGAAAGTGTAAAAGCATTATAGAACCCCTTTAAAACATTGCAAGATTCAAACGAAGAGCATAAGGAACTGAAAACAATGTAGTCGACAGTAGTTTGCTCTGCTGTAACCTAACGTTACACAAAGTGAATGCCACGAGACATTTATTCATGCACGATAGCATAAAACATTCATACTTTACAGACTGCTATGAAAAGGTAAACAATTGTAGTTTAGGCATAAGTCAGCGCTGAAACTATAGTTAGCTGAAATAATCCATTAAACTTGCTGAGATACAAGGAGCATGAACTAAATTATCAAAAATTATCAAATCGCCACCTTGGAATTATAAGGTTCTATCTGCATTCTGAGTGATTTCGAGATATTGAGCTTCAAAGATTTTGCATTCCATGTAGCAAAAGTGATATGGGGAACAAGTCTCTTTCATACATGAAAATGACCCTAAATGTATTCTAAATGCACAATATCAAAATCCTCTCAAATCTGTAAATGGGGATTTTTGGAACAGGTCAACAGGTCCGCTTGGAATTATAAGGTTCTACCTTGTAAAACATCAAATGAAGCAACAATTTTCAATAAATACAAACAGTTTACTCATAATTTAAAACATAAAATTAGTGTTGTAACACTGTGTCGATATGTATGAGAAATGTAAATTAAGTGCTTTTTATGAAATTTATTTCATATTTTAGGGCTTTTTTTTCTTGTTAAAGTAAATCATAAAAGGCAATGCTAAATGTTTTGTCCAGTGCAGGTGTTAATTTTAGCCAGGAATATGGTGGGTAATTAAACATATCATTGCAGGAACAGTTTAAACAGCAACTGTAATACATCTGACCAGGACTTTGGGATCTCTCTAGAGATCAGTATGGCTGAGATAACATGTTAACATTTATTGTTGTAATTAAGACCTCATCAAATAAATTGATGACCATTTGACTTTAAGGCTTAATAATGTACAATTTAAGACATTTTAAAACTTTAAACTTCAAGAAAACAAAATGCTTTAGCAAAGTTGTTTAACCCTTAAATGCATGAATGTTGCACTAGTCATTACATATCGGGTCTAATGCTGAGTTCACACTGCAGGATTTTCAAACTCGTCGTATCACCGTTGTTTTTACACTGCGTGACTATCTGGGGTAGCATTCAGTTGCTGCTGTGTTCACATTGCACGATGGATCGGCGACAGGGGGTTTCACACTGCATGACTTCACAATAGGAAGAATCGCCGACAGCTCTGTCTGGTCCGCAAACTACGTTTCACAACAAAACACACGCGAGAAGTGATAAGGAAATAACGCGAGAACCCACGTGCATCAGACCGGAGTTCTCGCGAGCAAGACTGTAATTATTTTAAATATACTGTATATATATATATATATATACCAAACTTCCCTCTGCCCTGTATCTTGGTCTCTGTTGGCTGTAGGTCATCGCCGATGTTTTTTTCAGTCAGAACTCATTTCACATAGCGTGATTGTGAATCGGCGACAGCTCCAGATATTTAGCATGCCAAATATTTTGCGGGCGTCGGTGACGTGTCGGCGATTCCCTCAGATCGCGTCTTTGATAATTCACACTGCGTGATTGTCACTCACGTGCACGAGCACCGATTTGCCTCCGATGTCGGGCATTTGTTGGCGATTTCGCAAAACCTGTCAGCGAGTGAAAAATCGGGCAAAAATCGTGCAGTGTGAACTCAGCATTATTTATATCGACCCAGAACACGGGATCTGTAACTGCTGCAATAGCGCAAAACTCTCCAGATATTTTAATAACAATTACAAAGGAATACAATAAAGCATATTGCGTTACCTTTTTTAACTTGGAAGGGTTCAATTTGAGCAGATGATTTTACCATCACTATCGTCAGAGCGCACTTATTCAGCATCTGGCTCATATTTGCAATCTCAACCATATTCTCAAAACTATAGTTTTCAATGTCTTCAAAAACAACATTTTGATCACTATTCACCACATCCACCATCAAATGACTGTGACACTTATATTTCATTGCATACAGTAATTGCTCTGCAGTAAAGCCATTTTGTTTTATGCCTGTGGTAATTATGAGTGAAACAGTCATGACAAACATTGTCATTGTCTATGAAACAGTGACACTCTGAGGAATAAATGTGAATTGTATTTATTGAGTCATCAGATATTTAATTATTGTTGTGCAGAAAAAATATATACTTACACTATTACATATGCCTACCTCTGGTCGCTAGGGTCTATACACTTTTTACAAAAATAAAAAAAATCAGAAAACAGACATTCTTTTATAATTTTTTTATCTCTTCTTTAAGAGATAATAAACATTGAAAAATGTTTCACTGGCTATATATTATTAAAATATTTTACATTTGAAATATTTAACATTTCATCTTTCGTGTTGTCACGGAGCAGTCTAGCGACAAGTTGATTCTGTTGATTCTGTTTGGCCCTCTTGTGTGCATTCAAAGTGCTGATTGGCTCACAGATAGAACCTTATAGAACCAAGTTAGAGTTCGACTTTGTAGATAGAACCTTTTTGTTTTCTAAATAAAAAGTCCCAAAATGTACAGAACTTTAAAAAAAAACATCACATAATGTAAATAAGTTGTCACAGGAAACGAATATGTGAATACCTCAATTTTGACAAAATAAATGTCAGATAGAACCTTATAATTCCAAGGTGACGAAATTACAAAGACTGTGTTGTAATTAAATAAATATGTAATTTGATGAGCTGCCAGTTTCTTAGTGAAGCACTGTTATCTTTTCTTGTGAACTGCTCATGATAGCTGTTTTCAGTGTCTCTGAGCAGTTCACAGTAAATGCTTCTCCACACAAATTCTCTGCAAGTGTTGTAAGTCACTTATAACTAGCATTTTAAAATGTAACATGCAGCAAATATCTTCACAACTTTTAATTAAAATTATATATAAATCTGATGTCGACAAAAGAGAAACAATTTAAAAGAGAAGTTTCCTTGTGGTTTTGCACCAAAATAAAAGCTCTATGGTTTGATGTTTGAAAGCAAAGAAAGAAAGAAAAAAACTGCAACCATAAATGGAAGTATTATTATTAGTAGTATTATTTATTATTAAATACTTTACAATCAAATAGTATTATAGTGTTATTTCTTTGTTGATAATGTTATTGATTAATAATAATAATAATTGCAATTAGATGTTTTTCCCAATTTGTTCTGTCTGTTTTTTAATGAAATAATGCACATAGAGTTTCACGGTCTGTACATTTTCCCAAGTTACCAGCCACTGGCAGGTGTGGCAAAATGTTCATTGTAGTCCTTGCATACAGATTCAACATTATGACATAATGTTTATTTTAAAGTCTTCCTTCCCACACCTCTCTCACACTGTTGCTCCTCTGAGCATCTCTGGGGTTTGCAAACACGTTACACACTCCCAGCATGCTGTATCTGTTGTGAGATTTGTTTAAAGCCATGAGTATGCGTGCATCTCTCGTTCTCACAAAATAAAGAGTTGTGATCTATGTGTGACCCACCCTCAGTCACCTCCTCACCTGAGCCATTTCTTCAGTGAGTGCTCCCCCGACTCCTAGTTCTTGACATGGTATTGCTCATCTGTCATACTCTTCAGACATCTTTCACACACACACGCACATACTCCAGAAGAGAAGACACAAGCTATCGTGCCTCACAACAAAAAAAAACATGACCCCTTGTGTGCCTCCTCTCGTGTCTCTCTGACTCCTCTTCACTGTAACAGTCAAGTCACCAATGTCCAGAAAAGCACAGGATCTCCCCTCCACCTCACCTCTTTCTCCTCCCCGCTGCTGTTACTCGTTGACTTTGTTTAAAAAAAAAATAGGTGCACAATCTTCCCCATCTTTCTGGGTCAGGAAAATGTATTCTGTAAATGCTCGCTCTTTCACGCACTGCTCCTGTTACTCATGTGTTTGCTGTGTGTAAGCTGGGATAATCACTCTGCCTCTCATCCTCTGTCCTTTCCTCCCCACTTAACCACCCCTCCCCCTGTCTTCCTCCCTTCCTCTGCCTCTATACACACACACACACACAGCAAATTACAAGCTGTGAGCAGGGGATCAGAAGGATAATATGGAGGGAGGTCATGTGACTTCAGATAGTAATGATTGTGCTGGACCTTCCATCAGCTGTCACACCTATTTCTCCATGGAGAGATTTGTCCCTAATGACAACCATCTGTGGGATCTTACTAGGTTATCCAGCCATATGTCCCTGCTGTCATCTTATTGGGCTGCAACCAGTCAATCCTATCCTATGTTTGTCGAAGGACCAAGGGAAATGTAGTTTTTTAAGTTTCTATTTTTTGTTTTTCCCAACATTTTTATTTATTTATTAAATATGTACCCAATAATGCAAACTGTCATATATCCACACTCACACATAAATGTAAAGCAGGCAAAGGTTCTCAGGACGTTCTCATCATTTCCCTTAAACTAAATTGTGGGAAACTTCCAACCCTCAAGAACAGCAAGCTCACTCTTGGTGTGGACCCAGTGTTTCCCACACCTCAGATTCAGTGGCATAACTTAGTAATGACGGGCCCCAGTGCATGCTATTACAACGGGCCCCCTGGGGTGCACGGTTATGAAGCACATATGCACTCGTGTCTAGAAGGGAACCCATATATGCAAATTTGTGCCTAACCTACTTAATTTAGACCAACTAAAATCAGTATCTTATCAGTTTCTTATAATAAATTGAACATCAAAACTCAAATTGAAACTCTTTCCATGCGTCTCTCTCTAACACACACGGCTATGCGGCTGTGCGTTAGAGTGTGTATGTGTATGCACTGTGTGTACCATGAGCGCTCAGACTGACCTGAGATTTGCCCCGCAAACATTTCAGCAGTTATTATAGGCCCGTGTGTCTCGTATTTCTGTCGACTGAACCAGCCATGCCATTAATTATGAATTCATCAGTCTTTTGCACGCCAAAGTCAATTTCTGCGTATAAACATTACGCCAAATAGGAACAGAAAATCGTGCTATACGCACTTTCATGAGATCGGGTTAGCCTACAACAATTAATTTGTTGGCTATTTTACAACTGGGAATACAATGAATTCATGGCAATGTTTTACATTCAAGCTACCCGTAAAATTTTAGTGTAACGTTCTTTAAAATCATCTGGAATGCAATAAAGTAATTTTTAAAGCTGTTTTTAAAGCATTTGCTGCATGGATTAAAAAAATAGGCCAATAAATAATTCCCATATCAGACAAAATTGCGTTGCAGCAAATCCTTTAAATTTTAAGGTATTCAGAGCAGAGCAAAATAAAAATCTGAAAAAATATAATCGGGCCTGTTTAAGGCTTTTCCTTATTTTTATAGTTTAGATGGTGATGAAAAAATGACTCGCCATCTCCTCATTGGACGTGCCTTTAGAGAGATGCATCTTTAAGGATTACATATAGCCTAATGAAAGATTTTTTTTTTTTCGATTTGAATAATTTAGTTTTAAAGTAGTAATTTAAAGCTTTCTTCTATAGATATATTTATCATATCTGTGACTCAATTCGCAGAGTTTCGGTTCATCATTGTGAAGCGCTCCTGTTCAAGACGAGATGGCAAGCGCATCCTCTGTTTTCCTATTTATTTTATAAAAGCACAACGTTTTGTTGATATTGTGAATGCACACAAATAAAAGTAGACCCTTTACATTTCCGAATGTATTACTCTTACCTTTATGAGCAAAAATTATGGAGTATTTTAAGATGTTTCCACTATTAAGAAAAAAATGCAAATGAGTGATCGCGCTGGCGCCTCCATGTCCTGCAAAGTGCCTTCAGCTTCCACTCTCCACTCAAAACGGGCCCTTCCACGACCTTTTGAGGGGCATGTGCTGAAACTGAAAAAGGTCACATATATAGGGTTTCTTAGGTCTATAGGTCTACATGTTATACACTATTATAATGACCTCCATGTCCTGCAAAGTGCCTTCAGCTTCCACTCTCCACTCAAACAGGGCCGTACACAGACCTTTTGAGGGGCATGTGCTGAAACTGAAAAAGGTCACATATATAGGGTTTCTTAGGTCTATAGGTCTACATGTTATACACTATTATAATGACATATGATATGGCTTTTAAAGACTGCTTAATTTCTAAATCTCAAAAGGTGGAAGTCAGGTCTAATAGACTTGGCCTGGAAAAAGGACATGGTATGATAGCTTGGCATTATACAGTGCAAAGTATATCTAGCCTTCTAGATGTAAAGTATAGGCTATAACAATGGGCCTCCTGGGTAGTTGTCATTATTATTTGTAGGGTCCTGTGTTTGTGAATTGCTCTTGTGTACTCGCTCTTTTTTTAAATGTATTATATATACAGGTGCATCTCAATAAATTAGAATGTCGTGGAAAAGTTCATTTATTTCAGTAATTCAACTCAAATTGTGAAACTCGTGTACTAAATAAATTCAATGCACACAGACTGAAGTAGTTTAAGTCTTTGGTTCTTTTAATTGTGATGATTTTAGCTCACATTTAACAAAAACCCACCAATTCACTATCTCAACAAATTAGAATATGGTGACATGCCAATCAGCTAATCAACTCAAAACACCTGCAAAGGTTTCCCGAGCCTTCAAAATGGTCTCTCAGTTTGGTTCACTAGGCTACACAATCATGGGGAAGACTGCTGATCTGACAGTTGTCCAGAAGACAATCATTGACACCCTTCACAAGGAGGGTAAACCACAAACATTCATTGCCAAAGAAGCTGGCTGTTCACAGAGTGCTGTATCTAAGCATGTTAACAGAAAGTTGAGTGGAAGGAAAAAGTGTGGAAGAAAAAGATGCACAACCAACCGAGAGAACCGCAGCCTTATGAGGATTGTCAAGCAAAATCGATTCAAGAATTTGAGTGAACTTCACAAGGAATGGACTGAGGCTGGGGTCAAGGCATCAAGAGCCACCAGACACAGACGTGTCAAGGAATTTGGCTACAGTTGTCGTATTCCTCTTGGAATACGACAACTGGAGAAGAAGAACTGGACTGTTGCCCAGTGGTCCAAAGTCCTCTTTTCAGATGAGAGCAAGTTTTGTATTTCATTTGGAAACCAAGGTCCTAGAGTCTGGAGGAAGGGTGGAGAAGCTCATAGCCCAAGTTGCTTGAAGTCCAGTGTTAAGTTTCCACAGTCTGTGATGATTTGGGGTGCAATGTCATCTGCTGGTGTTGGTCCATTGTGTTTTGAAGATGCTGATTTCATTTTCCAGCAGGATTTGGCACCTGCCCACACTGCCAAAAGCACCAAAAGTTGGTTAAATGACCATGGTGTTGGTGTGCTTGACTGGCCAGCAAACTCACCAGACCTAAACCCCATAGAGAATTGTCAAGAGGAAAATTAGAAACAAGAGACCAAAAAATGCAGATGAGCTGAAGGCCACTGTCAAAGAAACCTGGGCTTCCATACCACCTCAGCAGTGCCACAAACTGATCACCTCCATGCCACGCCGAATTGAGGCAGTAATTAAAACAAAAGGAGCCCCTACCAAGTATTGAGTACATGTACAGTAAATGAACATACTTTCCAGAAGGCCAACAAGTCACTAAAATGTTTTTTTATTGGTCTTATGAAGTATTCTAATTTGTTGAGATAGTGAATTGGTGGGTTTTTGTTAAATGTGAGCCAAAATCATCACAATTAAAAGAACCAAAAACTTAAACTACTTCAGTCTGTGTGCATTGAATTTATTTAATACACAAGTTTCACAATTTGAGTTAAACTTTTCCATGACATTCTAATTTAGTGAGATG